CGTAATAGGCAATAACATAGTCACCGTCCATAGTGACGTAATAGGCAATAAAATAGTTAGTCACGTCCATAGTGACGTAATAGGCAATAACATAGTCACCGTCCATAGTGACGTAATAGGCAATAAAATAGTTAGTCAATGTCCATAGCGACGTAATAGGTAATAAAATATTTAGTCACTGTCCATAGTGACGTAATAGGCAATAAAATAGTTAGTCACTCTCCATAGTGACGTAATAGGCAATAAAATAGTTAGTCACTGTCCATAGTGAGTAATAGGCAATAACATAGTCACTGTCCATAGTGACGTAATAGGTAATAAAATAGTTAGTCACCGTCCATAGTGACGTAATAGGCAATAAAATAGTTAGTCACTGTCCATAGTGACGTAATAGGCAAAAAATAGTTAGTCACTGTCCATAGTGAAGTAATAGGCAATAAATTAGTTAGTCACCGTCCATAGTTACGTAATAGGCAATAAAATAGTTAATCACAGTCCATGGGGACGTAATAGGCAATCAAATAGTGACTTTCCGTAGTGCCGTTATATACAATAAAATAGTCACTGTCCATAGTGACGTAATAGGCAATAAAATATTTAGTCACTGTCCATAGTGACGTAATAGGAAATAACATAGTCACCGTCCATAGTGACGTAATAGGCAAAAAAATAGTTAGTCACGTCCATAGTGACGTAATAGGCAATAAAATAGTTAGTCACCGTCCATAGTGACGTAATAGGCAATAAAATAGTTAGTCACCGTCCATAGAGACGTAATAGGCAATAAAATAGTTAGTCACTTTCCATAGTGACGTAATAGGCAATAAAATAGTTAGTCACTGTCCATAGTGACGTAGTAGGCAATAAAATAGTTAGTCAATATCTTTAGATGGGCATCGACCAAATTCTTTCATTTATTCATTTTGTATTCACCACTTTATTTATTTTAATTTGTCAAGATTCTCCCAAAGTTTCAGGAGCTATTTTACGACTTTTTAATCTTTGATCTGAATAACACTTTTTTAAACTCTGCATAACATTGTTTTGTTCTGAATAACAAGGCTTATGTATAAATAACAATGTTGGGGTCTGAATGACAAGGTTTTTTGTCGAAATACCAATATTTTTGGTCTCAATAAATATGTTGTGGTCTGAATGACAAGGTTTTGGTCTAAATAACAAACGTTTTGACCATCGGTGAACGCTCCTTCTGCTTCCATGGGCCCACGTTCTGGAACCAGCTCCCCTTCCATATACGTCATAGTGAAACCTCGTCCAGTTTCAAAAAGTCCCTTAAAACTCATCTGTTTAGGTCCGCCTATGACCTGTGATGCACCCTCCTTGCCCTACCTCATTTTCTGTTTCGGGTTGATCCTGAAGTGTCAAAGTGACCTCGTTTTTTGCCATTTTCATTGTTTCTATAGAATAGTAGTTACTATCCTAGTGTCTCATTTTTATTTTACTTAGTTCACATGTTTTAATAATTGTAAAGCGCTTAGAGCTTTATGATAAGCGCTATATAAAAATGCCTAAATAAATAAATAAATAACTATGGTGTTGTCTGAATGATAATGTTTTGGTCTAAATAACAATAGTTTGGTCTCAATAACTATGTTGTGGTCTGAATGACAAGGTTTTGGTCTAAATAACAAAAGTTTTGGCCTCAATAACTATGTTGTTGTCTGAATGATAAGGTTTTGGTCTAAATAACAATCAATAACTATGTTGTGGTTTGAATGAGAAAGTTTTGGTCTCAATAACAATAGTTTTGGTCAGAATGACAATGTTTTTTTAATTTATTTATTCATTTTTATTTATTGATTTTTTGTGTGCTGAATTTCAAGTTTTGTTTCAAATATTTAGTCAGATCCAGTTCAAATAGTCGGTAAATTTGATTAAATGGCTGTTCGAAAAACAATAGTTTTCACTCATTTTGAATTTTGACCTTTTTTTCATTCAAATAATTGATTTTTTTTTTTAAATGTTTCCAATAACAAGGTTTTAATTTATATTTAAAGCACATATAGTGTACAACATACAACTCTTTTTTTCCATCAGATATAATCTTAGAGGTTTTTTTAAACCGCAAAAATTAGTAGGTAAAGAATTACCTTTCTTGAAACTCACTTCATGTGTAAACTACCGGATATACATAGAATTTCAAATCAACAACCATTGCTATTTAAATCCATGGGCTAGAGGTATATGGGTAAAGAATAGGAACGTATGAAATCGAACTTACGACATAAAACTTACGACAAGAAGCAAACGACATGAACATACAACACGGAACATTTTGCTCATCCATCGCATGTGAAAACTACTAGGGCTATAACTAACAGTGAGGGCGCAGGTGACTTGCCAATCCTATTTTTGTATTAAAAACTTTCCCGCACGTAGGACACACGTTGTTTTTTTCTGTGGGTTCAAAGTTGGATTGGATTTCATTCTGCTTTTCCTTGCTGACATATGACATGAAACATACGACATGAAACATATGACATGAAACATACGACAGGAAACACATACCTATCAAATTGCTTTTTGCTGACAACTCTGTGGGGAAGGGGACTCGATATATCCCCCTCCACCCTAAAAATTAAAACACAACTGCAAAATGACTAAAAAAAAAACAAAATGGAATTTTTCATATTTTATTTCAAATTTGATCCTTTTTTGTGAGATTGTTTTGAGCGAAAAGCATGCAAAAAATGTCATTTTAAGGAATACATGTATTATCTATTTCCAAAAAAAGCTTCCTTTCATAATATCACAATTAATCCATCCATCCATCCCTGTGGCACTACAGCCCGTGTAGGGCTTTGGTCTGCCTCACCGCTTCCTTCCACTAAGATTTAACTTATGTTTTTTTTCATTTCCATGCTTGGATTCCCAGTTGTTGTAGATCTTTATCCACATCATCCATCCATCTGTGTCTAGGTCTGCCTTTGAGCCGTTTTCCTCTGGGTTTTTGGAGATGTATCCTCTTCACTCGTTTGTCATTCGGCATCACAATGAATCAACTAATTAAATAATACACATTGGCGATAACAATTACACCCTGTCATTTTTAAAAAAAATTCTGTAATAAATTCAATATTTCTAGATTTGTATCAAATGTCAAATGGTAACGTATTATTGTCAAGTAATTCATCATTTTGAGAACCAATGTCTTTGAATATTTGGTGTTATTTTTATCAAAACTTTTATTGCTAATAAAAATAGGTAAACAATAAAAATAAATGTTATAAGTTTGTGTGACAATATGTTTTAAGGTAGATTCCATCTAGACATTTGGATGAAAATATAATATAAGGTAGATTCTATCTAGAAATTTTGTGCGACAGTATGTTATAACGGAGATTCCATCTAGAAATGTGTGTGACAATGTGTTTTAAGGTGGACTCCATCTAGAAATGTGTGTGACAATGTGTTTTAAGGTAGATTCCATCTAGAAATGTGTGTGACAATGTGTTTTAAGGTAGATTCCATCTAGAAATAAGTGTGACAATGTGTTTTAAGGTAGATTCCATCTAGAAATGTGTGTGACAATGTGTTTTAAGGTAGATTCCAAATATCAATTTGATCCTACGTTTTTTGCAACTTTTATTAGATACATTTCATTTTTATTTATAAATTACGCATTTTTTGTTACATATCTCCAATTAAACATTTATTATGCTATTATTTTAATGAAATGTTTAAAGGAGAAAACATTTGACACTGAAGTAAGTTCAAGACGTAAAAACAGTTGATTAGCTAAAACTTTCCAAGCTAAAAACGTACAAATTAAAAAAAACACCAAATGCATCTTGAACATATATAATATGGTTTATGAAGTTTACTCAAGATGCCGCCCCCACCAAAAAGCACCGCCCGGACCAGAGACCCGCTATCTCAAATCTCTCTAAGCCAGTGCACGCCTCTTTGAACTACCAAAATTTATTCACGGGTCTGACTGTCTGAAATCCTGCTGAAACTCTTAATATCTCCAGATGTGCTTAGGCCTCAACTTGAAAACAAACTGACGGGAGATATTAAAATATCAACACTGTTTATTTAATGTTTGGAATTGTAGAAATATCATAATACATTGTATTTATATTTATTTTTAAATATATATATATATTTATCTTTTTTTAAAATCTCAACGATGGTCAGGGTGACGAGTAGAAACAATTAATGCCAGCGGTTTATCGGTTGACATACAGAAACAAGGGACACAAGTCCTGCCAGCATCTCACTAGAAGGCAAATTGCTTAGCGATCCTTTGCTGTGTGATGACTCTCTGAGCCTTCTCTGTGTTCTTATATCTTGTTCCACTATCGATTTTGTTCCACTATCTATCTTGTTCCACTATATATCTTGTTCCACTATATATCTTGTACCACTATTAATCTTGTTCCGCTATATAATAGAATATATCTTGTTCCACTATTAATCTTGCTCCGCTATATAATTGAATATATCTTGTTCCACTATCTAACTTGTTCCAGTATCTATCTTGCTCCCCTATATATCTTGTTCACTAATTAACTTGTTCCACTATCTATCTTGTTTCACTATTTATCTTGTTCCTCAATTTATCTTGTTCCACTATCTATCTTCTTCTTCTTATATTTGAGGGGCCCACGATCAATTTGTTGATCATTCTAGCTCCTGGTTTTAAATTCAGAGTTTGCCTTCTCTTAGATAGGATGCCGTCCAAGGCTAACGAGTCCCATCCACCCGGGGTGCTTGAGATGTTGGCTTTGGTTGGGGATCAAACTGCAGACCACCAGCTATTTGGTTTGAGACAGTTTAGACCGCTCGGCCACCCAGCACCCACTGTCTTGTTCAACTATCTGTCTTGTTCTACTATTTATCTGCTAAGGTGGTTCCATTATATTCGTTTGTTTTGTTGTTCTTCTGTTGAGATTATATGAAAATCCTACAACTTACCCTGATCAAATGTTTCAAGATGCGGCTCAAGACGTCCAAGTGCCTTGAGACCTAACCCTTTAGTCATCTGAATAGCCGTACACTATAAGTGGCGTAACAGCAGACCTCATGACACTGAGCCAGTACACTATGTACATTATATCAGGTACCTCCCCGAAAGGCAGGCCTAAGCTGTTTAGGTTCAGATTGATCCCGAGGCTGAATATTGCAAAAGGTGAAACTAAGATGAAGTAGACGACCGAGATGAGCATAAGCCTCGCCGGTCTCTGCGTTGATTTGGGCTTATCTTCCACTGACTTCACCACGGGTGTCATTGAAGTAGTGAAACTTGCGCCATTACCGGGATGCTTATAGTCAGGTGTGTCGTTTGGTTGAGCAGGTATTGCACAACGCTGTGTTGTTGGGGGAATGTTAAGCCGTAGAAATGTTTGTTGAGCGTTAGGATCCTTTTCTTGTTCAATAAAATTTGGAACGACAGCCATCACGGGTTGTTGAGATGGATTTCCCGGCGCTGTTGGAATCAGTTCTTTCTGTTTGACGATCGGAGCATTCATACCAGCCGTGCTGTCCGACTGTAAGGTCACAATGACCTGTGGTTCGTTGCTCACCGTTCGTTGGCCCGGGGCTCTTGGTGTACAGTTAATGACAAGAATAGAGGTCATCAAAGACGTCATGACAGCTCCACACGCTGGCAGGATGATTCCGATTACCAGCAAAACTTTGATTGCATACGTGCTATTAGCGAATCTCCAAGCCTCAACACCTATGTTAGCCAAACCAAGAGGTAAGATAATGCTAAGTCCAAGTATCCATGGAGCACAGCTGGCCATCATGGAACAAATGATTTTTGAGTTTTTACTTAAGCTAGAGATCCTGTGGTGTAGATCCATTTCTAATCCTAACACCATTAATCCTAATCCGTACACGAAGGTGATTAGATATGCCTGATAAATCTTTGAAGTGTAAAATAAATTGGTGTCATAGATTTCTTTTTCTGTGCCGTAATCTCCGAACCAAATTCTTGTGAATACAACCATTGGAAACAGAGCCACGAAAACATCTCCAACGGCCAGTGATAAAATTGTCATCGTTTTTGGATTGTACATGAAATTACCTTTACGGACATTCTTGAATATGAGCAAACCGTTGACCAGCAGTATGAGGATGATGAAGATGATGTGAAGAGCCTTGTGGGCTATCATATCAGCGGCCTCGTCATATCCTAAGCTGTACATGCTGTAGTGATGCTTTTTCAATCAAAAACTTTCACAGAATTCAGATGTGATGTAAAGATACAATTTAGATGTGATGTAGATCAAATTCAGATGTAATGTATATTCAATTCAGATTTAATGTGGATCAATTTCATATATGATATCGATCAAATTCAGATGTGATGTAGATCACGTGAGATGTGATGTAGATCAAATTCAGATGTGATATATATTCAATTCAGTTGTGATATAGATCAAATTCAGATGTTATGTTTATCAAATTCCGATGGTATGTAGATCAAATTCAGATGAGATGTAGATCAAATTGAGATGTAACTAAGAATAAATTTAGATGTGATGTAAAAAAATTTAATCAATATTGTCATTTTATGAAGACACTATATCCCCGTATTTAAAAATGTTCACAAGAGATTTTGAAATTGTTAAATTTGAAGATTTGTTTCAAATTATAAGAAAAGCTAATATTTTACTGTGGGAAAATATTTCATGAGATAAACTTAATCAAGTCATTAAAATAGGGTTGGACATCTATTAAGTGTTTAATGAGATAAACGAGACTCAAAAAAAGTGATGTGTAAATAAAACAATCTTTAAATAAGCTTTATTAATCTTACGACACATTACAAATTCAAACGTTTCCTCGAATAATGTTTGACCAGTAAGGCAAATAAAATTGAAGTAAAGTAAGATTTCACATACAATATATTTATATCCGTCCCAATTAAACTCTAAATAAGTTCGTGCAAACTTAACATTTAATTCCTTGAACTATACGGTCGCAGTCGTTGGTTGTTATTAATTAATTTTGTTTTACCGTACGCGAAGAAAAAAAAAACCCACACAAACTGACCTGCCTCTTTCTCACTCCAGCCAGTAGATTATCAATCTGAAGGACATTTCACCAGCGATCGAATGTCTCGTACGACGCCGGACGCTCGGTCCGCCCCAAGTGACTGTTATTGAAATCTAAAAATAGCCTGAACTGTCTTTACGCTTCGATAAACTGATGGACAACATCTCATTGACGTCAAACGAGAAGAAAATAAAGTGTTTGTGTGTGTGCGTGTGTAAAAAATGGGGGGTGGGGGGACAGATGTTATCATTTTTGAAAACCTATGAATAATGCGTCACGGGGAAGCGCACATTGATATATTTCACTTTAGGATGTTTTACACATTGTGCAGCTTATGACGCCAGTCGTTTTTAAAGAAACAAGCTGGCTAAAAAAAAAAAAGAATAGCAATACTGGAACAATTTGTATCATGAACAAAAAAAATTGATTTCTTAAATATTTTTTTGTTGTTTTTTTTTTTGAGTGGAAAACAGAGCAAGAGTTCTCTACTATTTCTTTTTTTTTAAAAAAACAAGCTGGCTAAAAAAAAAAAAAGAATAGCAATACTGGAACAATTTGTATCATGAACAAAAAAAATTGATTTCTTAAATATTTTTTTGTTGTTTTTTTTTTTGAGTGGAAAACAGAGCAAGAGTTCTCTACTATTTCGGCATTCAAAACTTGAAAATTGAGTTCACAACTAAAATCACTTGTTATAAACAAGCAGATGATTGATGTTTACTGTTAACGATATTCAAATTATTTCTTAAATCCATTTCCTAAAAGAACGAAATTTTTACAATGTTTATCAATTGAATGCTGCTGATCGTGTCTATTCCACATTAATGCAACTATTTTTATTTTGTAAATTTTATTTCAGCCAACTTTAGACAAACTAACCAGCCCCTGAAAAGTAAACTTAGACAAACTAACCAGCCCCTGAAAAGTAAACTTAGACAAACTAACCAGCCCCTCAGAAGTAAACTTAGACAAACTAACCAGCCCCTCAGAAGTAAACTTAGACAAACTAACCAGAACCTGAAGAGTCAAATTTAGACAAACTAACCAGCACCCAAATATATTTCGTCATCTTTGGAACAATATTTTTTTTTTAAATTCTGACACATGATGTCAATCAGGGCTGAGCACTGGTTCCCTGCCCACGGGGTGACACTAGTTCCCTCTCAATGAGATCACACTGGTTTCCTCCACATGAGGTCACACTGGTTCCCTGCCCATGACGTCGCACTGGTTCCCTGCCCATGAGGTCACTTCTAGTAGCTCTTTCAGGGACCCCTCCCCGAATTTCGCTCAGGGGCCCTCGATTTCTGCCCCACATCCCAAAAAAATAAATGAAAGTATAGTACGCCCTTGTTGCGAATGTTGGCGCCTAGTGGCGTAAAAATGAAAGTATAGTACGCCCTTGTTGCGAATGTTGGCGCCTAGTGGCGTAGGGTGGCGGAGGGTTCTTACTTACTCCCCTCCATTATAGAAACTCTGCAGTTGTCCGAAAATTCCCCCCCCCCTTTTGATGTAAAGAAAAATGTAACGCAGCGTGGACAACCCACCGTTCCCATCAGTTACAACTCCTGTTTGCTGGGTCGAAGAAAAGTGGGAGGGGTGGGGGTTTCGGGGTCGAGAATGGCGGAGGAAGTAATTAAAGGGGATTATCTATAGCAGAGGTCCCCAAATTTTTTTGTCTCGTAGACCCCTTGCCATGTTTTTCGGTTTTGGGTAGACCCCTTCCTTAAATGATATTCATTTTTTTTTTTTTTGCAAATTCATCTACTTCAAAATGATTTTGACAGCCGGTCTAATGCTACTCACTTTTAAATTAAATTCAAATTAAAACGAACCAAATTAAAGTTTACTTTCTGTTACGTACCGTGAAACGGGGTGACTTTGCCTACTTTTGGCCTTTAAACATAAATTTCAACATGTTAACTGATCTAAAAACTAACACAAAGGGGCTAATGTACAGAGTGGGTACCTGCACTTTGCTGTTATTGCTAAATTAATTCATAGTTTGATCAGGTTAAGTTGATAATTAAGTTTTTTTTTGAGTTTTTTCACTCTAAGGAAAAATGGGGTGACTTTTCCCTTTTAACGTGAAAGACAGCACAATTCATGAAGAAATTATAAAACCAAGCAAATAAGTTGTTTTCTTTTCTGTACTTAATGTTTAATCATAATATTTTATTATAATGAAAGGTTGGAAGAAAATATCAACACAAGTTCACATAAAAAATGATTCTCAGTGATCTATCCTTTCGAGGCAAACCTTCATCATAGGTTTTCGCATTTACTCCATGTAATGAAAGCTTAATTTGTGAATTTGTCACAGTAGACTGTAACTGTATTATAATATCTTTCCTATCATCTCAACTTATATCTTTGTCACATAACATCCTCATCTCGTTGTACAAAATCCATTCACCAAGTCATCTCGAAGATTGTTATCGTGGAATAGTTTCACCACAAGTTCGCCGTCATCAAGAGTGGTCCATAATAAAAAAGCTAGGCTAAAATGTAAATTGTTTCTATCTGAGGCATTCCAAAATCTGATGATAATGTCTTTAGGTGCTTTACTAAGTTGACTTTAATTCATCTGGCAAAGAGCTTGCCCTCCAGTTGTTTTCTTGTGGCTACAGTAACATTTACTAAGTTCAAAGAGTTATTAAATCAATGGTGTCTTTCACTTTTAGATGACTCTATAGGCCTGGTACTAGATTATCTTTTACAATTCCCACTTATCATTAAGCTGAGTGTCTTTAATATAGCCTCTATAGCTTCTGTTAATAGGAGTTATCTTGTTAAGTCATGGCATTATGATCTGGAAAAAAAACAAGAACAAATAGAGAAATCAATAAAAGAAATCATTGTATCAGTCCATGGGGTGACTTTGCCCCTTGCTGTGAAAGAAAAGCAATGACGATTTATTAAACTTTAATTTAACCAACAGAGTAATGAACCTTTTTATCACTGAAATTTATACAAATTAAATGCATAGGGAAATAAATTATAATACCTTAAAATGAAATTTTAAACTCACCTAAATCAGCAAAATATCGATGTCCTGAGTCTAAAAGCTCAAACAGTCAAATCTTATGGTTTGGCATGGCAAGGAAAGCGAAACAAGATAAAGCAACATGTCTGCTTTCATAGGAAGTAAATAAATTAGGGGAAAGAACTCTAGAAAATCATGAAAAACAACTTTCTCAATATAAGTATTTAATAGGCAAAGTCACCCCTTGAGGCAAAGTCACCCCTTGAGGCAAAGTCACCCCTTGAGGCAAAGTCACCCCTTGAGGCAAAGTCACCCCTTGAGGCAAAGTCACCCTTAAAATAACTAAGCAATAAAAAATAAATGCTTTTAGTGTGAGGGATGAACCTGGTGCTTTAGTAATAAATGTTCACCATTTGGCATCAATTTAGTTTGGTTTAATCTCAAATCTCATCGGTTAATGATGTCAAGTTTGTTTTTTTTTGTTTTTTTTGTTTGTTTGTGTTAGGAGATTGGTAACTGCGTGTTGAAACTCCTTCCCACCAGGCATGAGGATGGAAAAGCAATTAAAACTCGTTGACCATCATTTTCATTTCATTTTTTTTCCGCTGACCTTGACCCCTTGCAAGTTGTCGTCGTCCCCTGGGTAATCGATTTGACCACTTTGGGAATCACTGATCTATAGCCTGGATTTTGTGAGCATTCCTTGTTTAAAAATCTTCTTTTGTGGATAATTAGCTGAAAAAATGTTTATACAATAATTAGACAAATAAAAATACTTTGTACAAATATTTGTATTGCTATCAATCGCAGATGAGTGTTAAGCTCACTAACTAATTTTTTTTTTTAATTCACTACGCAAAAAAAAAAAAAAAATCTCATAAAGTAATTCTTTATTACTGACTGCGTTGGATAACACAA